AGCTCGACACCGGGCTGTGGAACGATATCGCCTGCGTCTCCATGAACCGCAAAATCAAGTTCCTGCTGCTCGGCGACTTCCGCCAGTTCCCCGCGATCATGGACAACTTCGCGGGCACCCCGGTGCAGCGCGAGCTCAAGCACTGCCAGCTGCTCCACGACCTCACCGACGGCTGGCACCACGAGCTCACCGAGAACATGAGGAGCGATCCGGGCATCTTCGACTTCCTGACCTGGCTCCGGGTCGACGAGCCCCGAGAGCAGCCCCTGGCCGAGGCGCTCCAGGCGGCGCGAGAAAGATTTCCTCGGCAAGGCGAGCCGGACGTCAGCCTGGTCATCTCCCACGCCCACCGCATCAGGATCAACGCCCGGGACAACCGCCGCCTGGCCCCGCCGGAAGCTGTCACGATCGAGTACACCGGCACTGGCCCGACGACCACCAACATGCCGCAGACCATGCGGGTCTGGCCCGGCCTCAAGCTCATCGGGGCCGGCGGCCGGGTCAGCAAGGGCATCTACGTGCACGTGGCCGAAGTGGGCGCCGAGAAGATCGTCTTGGACGGCGGCGACTCCTTCAACCCACGCCGCCCTCCTGAAGCACACCCGGCTGTGCCATGCCATCACCTACGCCTCGTGCCAAGGCCTGACGCTCGAGGGGCGGGTCTTCCTGTGCGACACCGAGAGCCCGCACTTCACTCTCAAGGGCACCAGCCGGGCCACCAGCAGCGAGCTCCTGAGCGTGCTCTAGAAGGGGCACGCGGGACCGGCGGCCTCGTAATCCTTCAGCTGCAGATCGGTCACTTCGAGCAGTAGGCCGCACTGGTTGGACATCAACCATATTTGGCGCAGCTCGCACCGGACCCTGCACTCCCTGCCGGCGAGGTTGCCGGGCTCCGCCAGCTCCTCCTGATTGGGCCCCCACATGCGGACTCGCCTCCAGTCCATCTTCAGCTTGAGGTACGAGCCACCCCGTGGCCTCGTTTTCAGGCACGATTGGAAGCGGTCCTTCACGTCCGTTTGGGTGAGAAACTTGCCGAAGACCTTCGGCTCAGAAAGCGACAGCGCCGTCAGGGCCCTGACGAGGTGCTGCTCGATCTCCTGGAGCTGCGCCTTGGAAGCCTCCTCGGGCTCCAGGCACAGACCCACGCGCTTGGCGCTCGGGTCGTTGAAGGCGGCCGGGTGCCAGATGATCTTCTGCCACTCCGCCGACTGCCACACCGGCGGACCGCCGTTCCGGCGCAGGGGGACGTACTTTCCGCCCTTTGCGTTGATCGTCAGATCGCCGAGCTGAATTGCCGATTCGCAGGTGGCTTGCTGTTGCGGCTCCATGCTGCTCCCTTTTTATGTAACATAAAAAAATGCCGTCGCCCGCCGAACGAATGGGACTGTGGGCGGTCGTCACGCTGGCGGGCGTCTTTCTCGGCTTGTGGCTTTTGTCGTCGCCCTGGGAAAGCCATGAGACTCCTGGAATTGTTCTCCGGCACGAAGTCGGTGGGTCGTGCCTTCGAGGCCCTTGGCTGGGAGGTAACGAGTCTTGACACGGACGCCACGACTCGGCCCACCATCTGCGCCGATATTCAGGAGTGGGATTACCGGACCTACCCGCCCGGGCACTTCGACTTCATCTGGGCCTCTCCCGTCTGCACGGAATTCTCGAGAGCCCTGACCCGGCGACCCCGACGGCTGACCGAGGGCGATGGCTTGGTTCTGAAAACCATCGAGATCATCGGCCACCTCCGGCCTCGGTGGTGGGCCGTCGAGAATCCGCGAACCGGGCTGCTGAAGAGTCGGCCCTACATGCAGGCGCTGCCTTACGACGACGTGTCCTACTGCAAGTACGGCTTCCGGTACCAGAAGACCACCCGAATCTGGAACAACCTGCCTTGGGTTCCCAGCCAAGCGGTCTGCTCCAAGCACGGCCGCTGCGAAGCCTTCCGGGATGGCCGGCACCCCGAAACCGCTCAAAGACAGGGCAGCCGGCACTGGCCCGGCCAGACCCGGGACCAGCTGTACTCCCTGCCGCCCCGGCTGTGCCAGGAGATCGCGGAGAGCCTGGAATAGAAATGGGAAAGGTGAAGCTCTTCCCCACCGCCGAGTACACCTCAAAACAGCCACGCGACCCAATCGTTCCCCGCGTGCCGTGCACGGGCATCTTCCTCGGGCCCTCGAAATCGGGGAAGACGGTGGCCCTGATCTCAGCCATCCTGGACCAGTACATGACAAGCGGCGGCGAGTCGGTCTTCGAGCGCATCTACATCTTCAGCCCGAGCATCGAGATCGACGACGCCTGGAAGCCCGTGAAGGACTTCATCGAGCACCACATGGGCGTCAACACGGAGCGAGAGCAGGTCTACTTCGACAAGTGGGACGAGGGGGCCCTGCGCACCATCATCCAGCAGCAGAAGAAGATCACCCGAACCACGAAGGAGCTGGGCTTCAAGAAGCTCTACCAGATCCTGATCATGATCGACGACTTCGCGGATCAGCCGGAGCTCCACCGCCGCACCGGCGACGGGGCGCTGGACACGCTCTTCATCCGGGGCCGCCACATGCAGATCTCGACCTGGGTCTCCTCCCAGAAGCTCCGGCTCATCAGCGCCGCCGTCCGCGTGAACATGCAGTTCATGTGCGTCTGGCGCCTCCGCAACCAGCTCGAGCTGGAAGCCGTGCTGGAGGAATTGACGGCCCTGCTGCCCAAGCAGGAGCTGCAGGCCATCTACCAGGAAGCGACGCGGGAGCCCTACAGCTTCTCTTCATCCACTACCTGAAGCCCCGCGCCGAAATGTTCTACAAGCGCTGGGAGGAACGCTTCGTGATCGAAAATGGGGACGATCCTGAGCCAGGTGGTGGGCAAGCTCCTCGGGGGCGGGCCGGTCTTGGACAGTGAGTGCCATTGCTGCAGCAGCACCCGCGTCGTGGAACCACGCTGGCCCTACCCCGAGCGGGCCCGGCAGATCAGCGACTCCACGGCCTCCGAGAAGTCGACGGGGCGGAGTTTCTTCCGCCGTAAGAAAAGGATGTCGACGACGATATATATGTGGACTCCCGGAAGCGCACCGCCGGTGACGACAGCAGCTTTGAGTACGATCTGGGGGAGACCCTGCACCTGCAGACGGGCGCCAAGCTCTCCATCTTCAAGCTTCGCGTCGCCGACGCCTTCCTCTCCACGGACCGCGGCTTCTACATGTACTGGATCGACGAGGCCCTGCAGACCCTCAACTGGGCGGTGCTTCCGGTGGGCGCCTACACGGGGGCGAGGCTGGCCGCCTGGATCAGCAGCAACTTCGGCTCCGCGACCTACGTTGACCAAACGAACGAGATCGGAGTGGCCTACGACGGCAACCGCCGCATCTTGAACGACCAGGAGATCCGGAGCCTCTTCCCCGGCAGCGGTTCTTACCCCGCCGGCGCCACGCCCAACCGGCCGCTCAGCATAAATCACCTGCTCGGACCCAGCTTCATCGAGGGCGCCCTCCAAATCTTCACGTTTGTGACGATGGCGCCGTACAACGAGCTGTACCTGCGCTGCAGCACGCTGGCCACCGCGGCCGACATCCGAGGGCAACTGGGCTCCGACATAATTTGCAAAACGATAATCGACAAAGGAGTGGGCCATATCATGCAATCAAGAACAGACGAGGGGCATTTCCTCAAATTGCACGGGCCCATTACGCTGCGCATGCTAAGGTTTCGGGTCACCGACGTGGATGGGAACGTGGTAAACACTCGAGGCACCTCCGTTTCCTTCGCGATTTACCTGGACTACGACAATTAATATCTTTATTCCACTAAATGGCAGAGGAAAATGAGACCGTGGTGGAGGAGACTCCTCAGGAGCCTCCGGCGACTGAGCCTGAGCCGGCTCCGGAGCCTGCTTCGGCCCCCGTGCCCGAGACGCCAGCCGCAGCCCCGAAGCGACGAGGGCGTCCGCCCGGAAGCAAAAACAAACCCAAGCCCCCAAAAACGGTCCCGGCCGAGGAGGTCCCAGCACCGACTCCCGAGCCCGCGCAGCCTGCGGCGACTGCGAAGGCCGCTCCCGCCCCCGCTCCCGCCCCTGCCGGTGAGCCTGCCGGCGACCCCGTTCCCGCGCCACTGGAGCCTGTGAGAATGACGCCCGCCCAGGAGCGGGCTCTCAGGTACATGGAGCGACAAGATAGATACATGCAGCTTCTTGCCCGAAACACTCTGGAACTGTAAAGAAGATGATGCCAGTCGAGAGGCGCAACGAACCCTTCATGCTTCGGCAGTTCCACAAGATGTACCCCAGCTACAACCTCAATCCCCTGATGCGCCGGCGGCACCAGCAGCTCGTCGAGGCGCAAGCTTTCAACGAGTGGCTCTCGAACCGCCGCCTCCGCCAAGAAGGCGAGACCTACGCCGACGAGCTCGGCAGGATGACGGAGGCCGTGAACCGACGGATCCCCCAGCTCCGCTACGCTCCGGCGGAGCGCGCGGGCATCCAACGCATGGCGCGGGACGTGGCCGCCGGCAGGAACACCAGCGACTCCCAGGTCTACGGGGGGATGCTGTAAGTTTATTAACGAACACCCCCGGGAGTGGAGGGAGGGACAAAATTTTCCGGCCCTTTGGCCAGGGAGTAGCTACCCACCCATCCCACCCCTGTCTCGAGGCGGCGCGGGAAATAAAAGAGATGAACTCAGACGATTCAAAGCATGAATTCATGCCATGAAATGTGGTTCAAAATAAAGCAAAGGCGTTTTGAAAACTTCGCAGTAATTTTCAAAACTCTCCTAGGAAAATAAAGCTAATAGAGGCAAGCCTCATGTGTCGCTTATTTTCCACGGAGCTTTGCTTTATTTCTAAAGTAAGATTCCAATCACAGTATTCCCAAGCTATATGGGAAAATCAAAGTATATAAAGAATAAGAAAATTGCTCAAGCAGATGTGGCGCTTTTTCCTTCCGGCAAAGCCGAAGGGGGAAGTCGTGACATCCCCGCACCGATCGATGGCGAACACGAGGATCGCCAACGAACACCCCATTCACTTAAGAAGGAGATCAATCGTGGCATTGCCTTTGATCGGGCATCGAGGCGACACTCTGCACACCTGCCCCCTGACTGGAAAGATTGACTTAGCTCTCGAAGGAGGATCGGCCGGGTTACTTGCACTTGGAACGCGGCTAAACCAAGGGAGCATCGCCTCAGCGTCGCAGCTCTCAAAGATCAGCAAGAGTTGCCTCCACAAAGGGTCTTTCGAAGAGCCTTTCACCAAAGAGGCCAACACTCCGGAGTGATCCACATACATGGTCACCCTTTGCATGTCCAAGTGCTTTGCCCACGCTTCTCTCGCACATACCACTGCATACATCTCAACTGGGCCTATCAAATGCCTTTTCCCGAGAGCCTCCCAGCTCTGTACAACGCTCAAAGGGATAGCACATGCAAAGAAGAAAGTGCACCACGCGCCGTTGTCGAAATGGTACAAGACTCCTCCGACAGTGGCGGGGTGAGTTTCATTCGTCGGCTCGTACGCTCCATCTGTGAAAATCACAGAACGACGAGACCCTACACAAGCCGGGACTATCCTAGGGGTACCCCCAAGAACCCGGGACCTAAGATTACAAAGGGCCTGCACAGCCGTGGCATCAAGGGTTTTGGCCTGAGAACTCATCGTGCACGCCCTAAGGTCGGCCAGTGCCAATCTGCCCAATCGCCCGTGCAGCTGACCCTCGGCAAACTGGAGGCGACCGAACAAAGACGGCAGGGTCTTCGGATCAAGATGGCCCGCACTCAAGACGGAGTCCACCGCCTCAGCGATGGCAGTAGCACGTTCGGGCTTATTCCCAATCTTAACTACCCCAAAGCTGCCAAGGTCAACCCGAACGCCTAGTAGCTCAGCCTCATGGCTGAAGGGAAGATCCTTGTCTTCCGCCCAGGCGAAACCCAGCAAGTCCAACGCGGCTCTGACAGTCGACTGCGTGTTGTTACAAAGCGGCAAGACCTCTAAAACCGGGTAATCGTCGAAGTAGTTGCAGGCGAGCACCTGCAAGGCAACCAGAACCCTTTGGAGCAATCTTGCAACGCGATTGAATGAAACCACCGACGAGGTGGCCCCAAACAGAAGGGTTCGGCTCTCGAAGCCAAACGCAAGCCTCGAGACCGGGTCCTTGATGGCCACTATGCTCAGACAGCGGTCTCGTGGAGAAACCGCCAACTGTTTATAAGCACTCTTCAAGTCCACTGTTTTCAAGCTTGGCTGAAGCGCATCGGGTTTCAGGGCCCTCCAGAAAGAATGCACCGGAAAGCGAAGATGGTCGCCATCCGACAAAGGGATGCTCACCTCGCCTTTTGCAATGAAGATCTTAAAGAGGGTGATCGCAAGCCAGACCAATTCATCAAGGGCCCTCAAAGAAATCCGATCGGAAACAGCATAGGCGCAGTTTACAGAGTTCTCGGCCAAATCGTCTATCGACCGTGTCTTGGCTTTTTGCACAATGCCGAACCTCCGCACTGGAAGCCAGCCTTCTGGATGACGGGCCTGCAGCTCGTCCCACGAGTAAGGCCCGGTTAGCCACTCCTTGACTAGCATCTCTTGCTGTGTGGAATCCCACACTTCCCGAGCTAAATCATCCACCTCCGCGTTCGCCACCTTCGCCCACAGCGCAGGCCTAAGGAATTTAGCATGCTGCACAAGTTCTGCCCTTGTCATCAGAGCCGGTTTTCTATCCACATCGAAGATGCCAGAAGGACTCGACTCCCCCACTAAGGGAAAACCATGCTTAAGGTGTTCGAAGACTTCAGTGTCAGGCCAACCGAAAGACGATGCAATTTTTTCCAAAAGCAAAATGTTTTTGCCCTTCATAACAGAAGCCACACCAGGATCCATGGCAGCATGCAGGTTTGCTTCGGCACCAGCCAAATCGCGTTTCCAAGAAGTCCACTGCTGGAGCAAATTCAGACGGTGCTTCATCACACCAACCGGGCCCTCTTTCAAGGTAAAAGCCAACGCTCTCAACATGAAGTCTGGGACTGCCACGCACAAGTCGAAGGGATGATCGATATGCAATGCCTGGGCCACAAACTCTTGTTCCGTGCGGTAAATGCCAAAGGTAACTGCTGAAGGCACACCTGACAGGCTCCGACCTGTTTCGCACCGACGACCCCCCGATCACACACAACGCGAAGAAGGCGGGAGCCAGGAGGGATGGACCCTACGGCACATGTGAGATTGCCTTTATTATCCAAAGGAAGGGGCCACGGGAACTCACGGACCGTGGCCTGGCACTTAAACTCGGCGATCTGCGGCTGGAATTTTGACAATCGAGGCTGCCGCCCAGCGGCTGCTACGGCAGAATGCCGCGAACTCTGCAGAGGAAGAGCGTGCTCAAGTAAGAGGCCAGACTGGCCAACCGCCAGCTGCAGGAGGCCAGCAAACAAATCACAGAATTTGGTTGTGTACAAGGCATCTGGTGCAAGCGAGCCCGCAGCGTGGGGCCCGGGGCGACAACGACATGCTGGCACCGGCATGCCAGCCAGCGCGGCCTGGGTTGTGCACAGACGCATTTTGACCGGACTGGGAGCCCCGTAGCAACCTGCACAGAAGTCTACGCAATGGAGGTTGTCGGGCAAGTCGAGCTGTTTCCACAGGGCTGACGCCAGGGGATGCAAGACACTCCAATGCGAATCAGATGCAAGCAAGAGTTTGGCGATGCGAATGGTTTGCCCGGCGCTAAAAGTAGCCTTAAAACAATCCTTGGTCGCAGGAAAGAAATGCACGTGAAAAGGGGCATCGTGGCTGATGACAGTCTGCACAAAGGAGAAACCCGACTCAGTTTCAATGTCCACAGGGACAAGGTGAGTGTGCACTCGCCCAGCGGGGCGAGAATGTTCAAGCGCTATGATTTGAAATCCGTCCCGCCGCACCCGAGCCGGCAGCAATCCGGACCCACACTTTATCTCGACATAGAGAGCAGAACCGGGCTTCAAGGGACTAGCAGGGTCGCTCACAGGTTCCTTAGGGTCAACGGCGGGGACAACCGAAGCGGGCAAGGGCCTAAGCGACTCCTGAGCTGCGGGGGAGGTCAAGGATGGCGGCTGACGAGCACACGCTTCAGCAGGCGCCAACCGCGCGCCCTCGGGCGCGCATTCCGGAACATCAACATGACACTCGCGGAGAAAGTCAAGATGTTCCTTGCATAGCGATTCGACATGACGGATGGTGAATGCAACCAGCAAGACTCTACGGCCCTGCCACGCCTCGGTGTAGTGCCAATTGTGTCTGGCATTGAATCGGACAGGGCCCTTAGCAACCTGCAAGCGAGAGCCTCGTGCCCCATTAAGGTCGGATACATCTCGACCGTTTTCATGCTCCACAAAGATAGCTCCACCTGAGAAGTCAGTCAGTGCAATCGCCAAGTTATGCAAGTTGGCATTCCACTGATCTCGATGGCGCTCAGTGCGAACATCCTCAAATATATTTATCGAAGAAAACTTAAACCCCGGTGCACGCTGTCTCACAAACCTTGCAAAGACTTTGAGCGCCTCCGGGTTGGCTGAGGCATTGGCCTTCAGGCCTACATTACCACCAAGAACATACGCTCCCGTGGCATAAGATTTCGAAGTTGGGAGAGGTGCATCGGCACCCCTCTTCAAGGCATCCGAAGGAAGACCATCGAAAACCCGCAGAACATCGGCGGCACTCACATGACCCTCGTCAGTGAAGAACCTCTCTGCGACTGTGCCCCATCACGGGGCCTCGGGGACCTGCTGCGTGCGGCCTCCACCACACCTGGTGATGGCCTGGAGATGGCACTGTGAGAGCCAACGTTGTGCATGTGATGATCCTCTCGATCAACACCTGACTGCAGACGACACTCCACACCACTCGGAGGAGAGCCGCCGGCGCATGCATTGCTCGGCCGATGAACTCCCTCTAGGAGATCATCCACCTGTGAGGCTCCCGCTGCCGGCTGATGCACACTCTCTGGAGCACCGGCCATCAGCGACGCACCCTCGTGACCCGCTAGTCACGAGCCACCCTGAGCCCGCTTTGGGCACTGCGCTGCACCATGGTTGTGAGCACCGCACTTAGGCACTGCGCAAATGTGCAGGCCTTTCTCGCACTTCTGCCCTTTGGTAGGGCATCCTCCCAGATTGAATGCAAAACAGATTGGGTCACCACGATTGGTGTGAGACCTGCAGCCCTCCAGGCCGGCGGGCAACCTCGTCATGAACCTCTGCTTACCTTTCTTTCCTTTGCCTCCACCTTTGTTGTAAGGAGAAGGCCTCTCCCACTTGGGAGCATCCGGCTTCTGGGGAACATCCTTTAAGGCAGGGGCCGGAAAAGGTTGCAACAAACATGACACTTCGTTCATGTACATCGCATCTGGCAGAAGTGTGTCCAACGGGCGACCCGATGCGACAGTCTGCACTCCTGCCCTGGTCTTATCACGAAGCTCGGCAAACAGCTGCCGATCTGCCGACTCAAGTTGCTTCCAAGTGGGCCTGGCAAAATGCTCCGCAGGCGCTTGCATGCGGGCCTTCATCAAGCGTTGAGTCCACTTATCAGCAACACTGAACTCGATCAGGTTCGCCTGATCCATGGCCAAAGCTCTCCTGGTGAGAGCCTGCTGAACAAGAATCTCCGATGAAGTATCCGCAACCAGATCAGGCTGTTTGTGCTCGATCCGAAGCTTTCCCGAAGACTCCTCAACAGTGAACCTGACATCGCGTTTCTTCTCGCCAGCCAGTTCAGCTTCCTTGGACACACACCGGTCCCACGGAATGTACCTCAGCTCATTTGCCTCATAGGAAGCCACAGCAAGATCAACAAGTGCATCGGCAGGCTCCAGAGGCCCTTTCAGTGTAATCCCGACAAGCTTCTTGGCCTGCCGCTCGTACCGCTCCGACCTCTCAGGCTGAGACAAAGGCCTGACGGTCGACTCTGGGTCGGCCTTCTCAATCCTCTGCTTCATTTCCGCGGTCACAATGGCGAAAGCTTCATTGTAAACCGCACGCCAATTAGCCTTGTCTGCAATTGTCAAGTCTCGCTTCAAAATGTCTTTCAACACCTGCATCAACGGCCCCTCGTCAGTCTGGCCAGGTGTGAAAGAAGAAATGAAAGCCAGCCTCCTCAAGTTTCCCACCTCTGGCAGGATTTTCTGAACGTCATCTTCTGCGAAACCCACGACACTCAATCGCGACTGCAGAACCGATTGACTCTCAGAGTAGTTAGCCATCGACAGGAGCAGGAACCGAGCTAGTGAACTCCTACAAATCGCTGAAAGTTCTCAGAACACTCCCGAATCCGCACCTCGTGGCCTGAGCTCTGACTTACCAGGTTCAAGCACAGACTTCCTAAGACTGAGCCGACTCCTCATGAAAGCGATGCTTGCTTCTGACTGATGCATGTCACTCGAAAACTACGAATCGCACACACTCCTGGAAGCACTCAGCCTAAGCGCGCAACGCTCAGAAACTCAGAAACTCCTTTTCACTGCACTCCTCAGCATCACTTCTTAGGTGGGCAACAGCTTCTACACAGCGGAAACAAAATTCGAGGGACGGAAGACAACCTTTCATACCTGGTCGAGATATTTCTCCCACATCTGAACTTGTCGCCTTCTTCGGATGCGACAGCATGGATGAAACGGCTGTCTCTGTTCCTGAACAAAGGGACTGCTTCAAGCTCGGCACGCAAGCCTGCATCGGGCTCCCATTGCCTTCCCAACTCGTCGGTGGCCGCCTCCGCAGCTACATGATCGACATCCTCGGCATCCTCGCTGGCCTCGGAGGAAGATTCCGACAAAACCTCATCAGGAGGAATGGGCATTCCCTCTGGATCTTCAAAGCGCTTCACGAAGTAACCGGACCTGGTGGCGTCCGGCATGAACCTTTCGCGCGACACTTCGAGCAGAACCCTTTGCAGTTGGCGCACAGGAGCAGACATGTTGTCTCTCCCATAGATGAGCTCGGTCCCGTCACGGCCCCTGGCGTGGTAGCCTAGGGCCGCTCTCACCTCGCGGGGTAGTCCGAATTTGGCGCTCCAACTCAAGGTCGTTGCCTTGAGACTATGCGTCCCAAGCGGTTCAACGGAAGACCTGTCACAACCCGCACGGATCAAGAGTGACTTCATCCATTTCGTGGCACTCGCCACCGCCAGCGGCGATGTTTGCCACCCTCCGCCAGAGAGCGGGCTCGGAAGCAAGGGCTTGCCAGACCCCAAAGGAGGCCCATGCTCCTTATAGAACTCAAACCACTTGACACCCCAGGGCGCCTCACCTATACCTTGGATGGGAGCAAACATGTGCAAATACCTGACCTTTCTTTCCAGTGAGAACGAAGTCTTGCTTCGCTCGACAGCGGACTCCAGGTATCCGACTGTGCCGTCCGGCGTATCGCTTAAGTCACAAGTCATTGCACCTGCAGCTTGGGCATCCGAGTACCTCGCTCGTGCATACAAGGTCCACACGAAAAAGCCAGCAGCGACCCGGTCTGAAGGCTCGAGCACGATCGAGCCGGAAGCGATAGCCTCCAACTTCCGCACATGATCAACTTTGAGCGACGGCTTTTGCCGAGTCTTCCTCTTTTCAAGATACAGCTTCGACGACAGCCCACGGACCCTGGGGCTGAAGACTTCATCACTCACCTTCAAGCTCACAGTGAACTTTGCAAAAGCAAGGCTGCTCAAGAAGCTCCTGGCGAAAGTGGGCGCCTCGTGAGATGCATAATCCTGCAGGAAAGCATAGATCCCTGCTTCAGTGACAGGGAAAGGAATGACCTGGCAACTTCGGCAGTGCTTGATGTACCTGGCAAGGGGCCCAGCACGGCCCGAGATCGTGACGCTCGCCTTCTGAGAAAACACATCTTGCAAGGAAGACTTCAAGTCAGAGTCTCGCCCGTTCTCCTTATCTAGCCGAATCGACAGAGAAAGACCGAAATCGTCAGGGAACCTTTCAAGAATCCCTAGCCACTTTGCCAAAGCTGCTTCCCTCGCCTCAGAGAGTTTCTGATCCCAGCTTTGTCCCGGCACACTCGGAATCTTCACTCCCGCAAGCCTGAGTGACTCAAGCTTTCCCGAAGACGACTTCACCGGCCCTGCAGGACCGGCCGGCCCCACTGGCGCTGACACAATGCATCCCCCTTTGGCAAAAGGCGAGGGCAAAGCAGGCATGTCAAGAAATGTAGAAGCTATTTCCCACGGCATCCTAACTGTGCTTCCAAGCCCTCGGGATGCAACACGCGTGGCCGACACATGGTGACCCTCATAAGCCCCATGCACACGAGCCTTCTTGAGGCTACTTTCAAGAGAGTCGTCCCCTGACATGCTGGCTGCAAACTCGGCCTTGTCAGGCCAGCATGGCAAACGCTACACCCCCCTACAAAATTTTCCGGCCCTTTGG